GTCTTTAACAATTAGATATTTCTTTGAGCTAAAGTTAGCAAATAATTCTGGAAGCAGTCATGTGTGAAGTCTAAGCAGATGTTTACTTTCTGTTCCCCATGGATTCTTCACTCTTCATATTTAAAAAATGTTGAAGTCTCTCCTACTGTACAAAGCTAAACAATCTGAAAATACCTCTCTGAGTTCTCAGTGCTCCTCTATTTATAGCCAGGTGGTTTCTCCTCACCATTAACTATCAAGGACAGCTAGCTTTTGTTACAATCTGATTTTATTTCTACTTTCAGTGTAGTTCAAAAAATATTTCATGAATGCCCACCACATGACTGGCCTTGCCTTGTTCTCTGTGCAATAAGTAACAATAAACAAGACAGATGTGATATCTATACTCATAGAATTTATCATTTCAGTGGAGAAAAACTGTTCTTTCATAGCTTCCTAAATATCTCCAACAGAGGCTGAAAATCCAATAGACAATTCTCTCAACACTTGAAATAGTCATCTGTTCTCCCTTCTGAGAGGAAGGAAACCCTTCTTGGTTTTTATAACAATACTAGAGGCCTGGTGCACGACATTCATGCACTGGGGGGGGGGGGGGGGGGAGGAGGTTCCCTCAGCCCAGCCTACACCCTCTCACAGTCTGGGACAACCGAGGGGTCCTTAGCACTGCCGCGGAGGCGGGAGAGGCTCCCACTACCTCTGCTGCACTTGCCAGCCGTGAGCCCAGCTTCTGGCTGAGCGGCGTTCCCTGGGGGAGCACACTGACCACCAGGGGGAAGCTCCTGCATTGAGCATCTGCCCCCTGGTGGTCAGTGTACATCATAGTGACCAGTCATTCCGCTGTTTGGTCGATTTGCATATTAGGGTTTTATTATATAGGATAATCAAACATTCAATGAGCAGTAGTATATGAATAATCTTATATGAGAATCCTATAAAGGTAAAGGCTGATAATAGAACAAAAATAAGATGAGAATTAAGAGTTCCTCATATTGTGCTTTGTATGATAGATTTGTATTGAGTTATGTAGAGTATATAATTTATTTTCTGGGAATAAGAAAAAGGATAGAAGTTACATTTTCACTGCCACTAAAATAAAGAAGGCTTGATGAAAAGGATGCCCCTGTTATAGCACTTCCCACCTTGCACAGCAATTACCATTTACTTGTCTTTATCACAAAATACGGTGATCCTTAAGGGCTCAAACTTAGTCATATTCACTGTAGTAGAACCAGCATCTAGCACAGCTCCTAGCACATGTGCTCAATAATATTTCTCAAGTGAATTAATGAAGTGAGACAATTAGGATTTTTTATGAGTATCTATTACATTTTATAAAGGCTTTCCAACCATAAGCTGTGGTTTGAGCAAAGGGGCAGAAACAGTGATACAGACACAGATTGGATTATTGAGAAATATTCTCAGCTGAGGCAATGGCAAATAATGAAAAAGTAAGGTAAAGGAAGCAAAAAAAAAAAGTAGGTAGTTGATGCTTGATGGCCATGATTCTCAGCAAAAGAAGTGGATTTTAATGTAAAAATGATGGGAAATCAGAGCTATGTACCAAAAACATAAGTAAATCCTTTGAGAAGTGGTGTTATTTTATATCATATATTTGAAAGTATCTTGCTTTTCTTTGTCCACATGATTAAAAGTTTAAGAGCGATCTAAGATGGCAACTGTGGAACCGGAAACCACTCCTACTCCTAATCCCCCACATACAGAAGAAGAAAAACAGAATTTAACCAGGAGGTTGCTAACCCACAAAACTATACTAAATATCCTTTACAGAACAGATGGGCACTGTTTTGTTTTGTTTTTTGAAAAATGACAAAACTTGGCAAGCCAACCATTGGCTGATCTTTGAGTTTGATCTCTAAGTTGAAGACTTTTGGGCTCTTCTACAACCATATCCAGTTGTCTAGTAATTTAATGTCTGGCTGTGACTACTTACTTTTTCAGAAGAGTATTGAGCCTATGTGGGAAGATGATAGAAGCAAATGAGGAGGACAAAGGCTAAGTACACTGAACAAACAGCAGAGACAAAGTGTCCTCAAATGCTTTTGCCTAGAGACACTGCCATGACTTATTGAAGAATCCTTTCTAAAAAAATATATTTTTTATTGATATCTGAGAGGAAGGGAGAGTGAGAAACAACAATGATGAGAGAGAATCGTTGATTGGCTGCCTCCTGCACACCCCCTACTAGAAATAGAACCTGAAACCCTGCATGTGCCCTTGACAGGAATCAAACCCAGGATCCCCTCAGTTGGCAGGCTGATGCTCTATCCACTGAGCCAAACCAGTTAGGGCTGGAGAATCTTTTGATGACCACAGTAAAGCTGTTACTAATGTTAGAGCTAAAGGTGATAAGATAGCAAAATGGATTACTGAATGTGAATACAGAGAAGCTATTACATATATAGGGAGGGTACACAAGGAAAGGTTAGGACTTCCTCCAAAGATAATGACTGGATATTAGTCCCTTGCAGATGCAGCTACTACTAAGAGCAGCTCTACCGCTAAAAAGAAGTCTGATGTTTAAGAAGAGACATCTTCTGAGTATTCTCATAGGAAACTGGATCAAGCAATTGAGATTAGGGAGCTGAACCACAGCCTTTCCAAAAGCAGAGTGGACTGCATTTAAATTTGATTTTCATCTAAATGTTGCTAAGATATGAGAAGTCACATTTGGCTTTGTCTTGCACTTCTGTATTAATTTAAAAACAATTCTTTTAGTTAGAGTGTCCACTTATCCCAATCAAAGAATTACAGTCTACATTGTCCCCAGAATCCATAAATGTGTTCCTTACAAACACAGTTTACCCATCCATAACATTAACAAAGAACTTGTATTTGTAAACCTTACAGGAAAAGTATTCTGTTTATGTTCCGTTGTATGGAGGACTATATTTTACTGGTTTGAAAGAGTATGATGGAGACAGTTTTCTAGCAATTTTCTTTGTTTTGTTTGACACCCTTGTCTTGGACATTCTTGCTGATGGCTGCTAGATTTTAATTTATTTGTTTCCCTATTTGATCACATTAGTGATTTGATTTTAGTGTTTCACTTGTTTTTTTCTTCATGTAACATTGATGAAGGCTCCAAGAATATGACACAAAAGTGGAATAAAAATTAATTTTGGGGATTCTTTGGTAATTTTTTTTTTGTAACTACAAATCTTTGCTACAGATTTATGCATTTCATTCAAATCAGTGATCTATGTTTGTGTAATTTCCTAAACATAATTGTGGACTATAAAAATGTAACATCATAATTACATTCCTAATTAGAATTAGTATGTCTGTTTCTATATCTTTATACTGTATTTTTAAGCACTTTATATTACTTAGGTTATTTTGTTTTGGTTAAAAAATGTCTCAAGTAGAAAAGCAGTCCCATTCATATTAGGACACTGCACAAAACTATACATAAAATGTGTATGTGAATTTTATTTT